ACCATGTTCTGATGTTCAACGAATGCTGAATGTGTTTCTCGTAGTGAAGCGATTTTATTCGGAATGGAGATGGGAAAATGCCATCAGTTGTGATGCATATTCATAGGAGCCAAAAGCGACCGATTGAGTCTATCTGGGAAGTTCGGTAGAAAAAATTGTGATTTTATCGGTGGCAATATTGAAATACTACTGATATGCCACAGTTTGAGAACCTATTAGGATCAGACACACTGACAGGAATACATGCGTTTTCCCTGGGTTCCAGTCAAACCTACTGAGTCATTTGCAGTCTATAGCAGCAAATTGACGCAGGAAAGCATCTCAAACCGTCGATTCGGCTTCAGTTGCGGCCTTTCGGGATCAATGGCACAGTTAAAAGCCAAGAGCATTATTCAAAACAAAAATGAGGATAGTAATTAAAGTACAGAGCTTTGTGCACGAAGCGAGTAGGTGCACCAGATACTCCGTTTACGATAGAGTCATAGCAGTTAATTAGATAGATACCGAGATTCTCAACCGGGAAACTTAACGCGATCCATGCACCCAAGAACCCTTCCGATCAGGTTTTCCATGCTCTCCTGCCAGATCTTATTCGGAAATCATTAAACTTTTTCTATCGACGAGCTGTCTCAGCAAGCATCGCGAACCGAGGGAATATATCTAGTGATAAGCGTATCTCATGCTCCAGATATTGTAATTTGTGAAGGTCATGCAACTGGTGCGCAATTCCCCAAAACTCTGCACCTACTCTCAGGGTTGCTTGTCCGGTTACCCAACTGGACTCGTGCAATGCGGCGCAAACGACGGGGTCTGAAAACGGGTAGTGCATTTATCCTTTTGCCGTAACAACCAAATATCTGCACCACACAAAAAACCCGGCCGGACAACTGCAGTATATACTCAATCCTTAACGGAAAACGAATCTCGCAGCACGGGTCTCAAGTTTAAAAACGTCAACTGGGCCTTCTATTGCCATGTGATTTGTCCGCTAGGGGACACGTAGCTGCCCAATTAGAAAAACTTGTCTTTCTCGTGAAAGTGAAAGTAGGACTTGGATCAGTGCAATTCTGAGACAGCATCCTACACATGCGTGCCGAACATAAATACGCTAATACTTCAACCATCCATAAAAGATCACCAGGATCTTCATTTGGTAGTACAATGTTATCTCAGTACTCCGGATAAGACCACTTGACACCTGAAAGAATGTTGTCAACGAAATTCTAGCCCAATCACAGTCNTATTGTATGGATGAAAAAGAATTGAACATAGCATTCCGTGGTGAACACAGATGGAAAACAGCCTTAGATTCGAATGTGGCCAGAGTCCTTATTCGGAAATAGAAACAGAGAAATAAACTCCTCCGGGTAAACGTTTCTTGAACCAGTGCCACAGTGCAGCGTGGCCAACAGAGCCNAGAAATGGGTATCCAATGAAATCAAAAGTTATAAAACCCTTTTTAACGGGTTCCTTTCCGGCTATGTATGACTGAATCACAACGGCAAATTCGCGGGATAATTAAATCTTCTCTTTTTAGTAAAAATATGACAATATGTGAGTGTAATCATACAGCACAATTAATTCCTCGCTTAGAAAATGAGAGCAGCAACTCTTCCATCAACCATGAGAAGTGAGGCTTGATGGAATTAGATCCTGGTGATAATGGGGCCGGTCCTTTCTCCCATTCATCATAACAAATAATGTAATACAAAATACCATTATTGTCATTGAACGTCAAAACTAGAATCCATTCCCCATCACAATACAAATAAATGGAGATGTGATTCCTATCTTCGAATATTTCGTGAAATAAAGCAGGTTTACAAGAAAGTCACTTATGTATACGTTGGTAGTGTTCTCTCGGCGAGGCACAAGACCTGTATTCTTCATGATCGATATAAAAATGCAAACATTTCTGTACGTCAAACAACCAAGGACATGACAATAGGAATCACGTGGCCTGTGAATCGTCAGTGATAGCACAGCGATGAGCAACGCATACGACCATTCTGCAAACGTATGCTGCCATAGAGTAATAGAACTACTCAAAATAATCGGGAACAGTTTTGAAGGAGAAATGCGAAGTTTTCAGGGGGAGGGGATGGATAGTTCTTCTCAGGTACTCGTAGTAAACGCCGGGTATTGCAAATTAAACCGACTGAACCTTTCAAACCGAAGTTAAGTGAGTAGGCGTAAGTCAAGGAGATTGGTGCGTGAAGGATAAGAACAAAATGGACAAACAGAAAATGGATGTAGTGAAAGATGTGGGTGGGAAATAAACGAGACGATTCAGGAGAGAGAGAATTAATATGGATTGTAGATACAACGCACCGGAAAGAACACACTAGTTTTCGACTGGTGGGAGGTGAGCATGTTATTTGAGTATACGGCGCTGTAACGACGCAATGTAGGCAGAATGAATCCGGTGCAAGAAGTCATCATCGTTCTGTGGAACAAAAAAATCAACGGGAGGAGAAAAAGGTGGAAACGTAAGGCATGAACAGTTTTGTACTAGAGTCGCCATAAATAACTCTCGCTTATATCGCCTACATTCAACAGCAGTCACAGATGAGCATACTCAGCCAACAAAATAGCAGTTTACCGCGGCCACCTATGAGAATCGTCATTGTCCAAAGAACAGCAGGATGTTTCGCGTTGATGGAGCGTAAACAGTTACAAGGTTCGGCGAGCCATTTCAGCGGGAAGCGTGTATTCAGTCTCAGATACGACTGGTTTAAAGTAACAGTGTCAAGCAAATGTTATCAGACAGATTCCATACATAGGAAGCTATTCATCGTGTTTTAATTCAACGAGGGGGTGCGCAGTGCATGATTGTTGTTTATTGAGGATTACAGATGAGGCATCACTAATTTGGCATACATAACGCAGAGATCTCATCAGAAACATACCATCGCAGTTCCTGGCCGCACAACGGGCAATGAATGTAACAATCGATAATTATTCCTTGAGACTCAGCAATTTTCCCTCGGTTCATTTTTGGTCGTCGAAATAAATCACCAACGATGTTACCTACTACTCGCAAATGTGAGTAGCTCCTCACGACAGCCGTATTAGACTTAATGGATGAATTGCATTAACTGCTACTAAGCTTTGAGAAACTGCTAATGTGATTTCAATTAGCATTAACCTCAGTTACTTGTAAGTAGTTTTGCAGGATAAAATGTTATTGATTTGGATCGATCATCCTTCGAACTCTATTGCCAAGCACAGTTCTCGGTCCATTCAGGAACCATTCATTCCATAAGCCTTAGACTCGAGTTTCGCTTACACTAGAGCTCACCGATTCAAGTTACCATGCAGTATATGGCGTCCCCTTTCATTGCTGTCGGACCAAAAAAAGCGACTGGATATCCCTGAAGACGACATTTGAACAAATCTAAATGGATCATTCTGGTCAGCACTAGTGTGACCTAGTAGTCAGTGATAACACACACGTCTTCTATGTGATGGGTACGGAGTCCGGAAGGGACAGTGAATATTAACTGTTGATGATTCCTAATGAGAGTACTTCTAGAATGTACGCTTGATTGGATCAAGTGGTTTCATCTTCGACAAACAAACTACCCAGATATTATTAGTATATTGCACATCCATCCATCTGCACTATACCCTACTCAAATCGTGATCTCCAAGGATAAAAAGCGTTAGATCATCAGCAGATGAGCTTATTCAGGCCATCCGGTACATAGTAAGATCAAAAGTCGTATCATAAACTGACTGCAACAATGGTCATAAAATGTGAAGATAGTTATAACATAAACACTGAAGACTGTAATTTAACATTTGCGAATAGCGACGCTAAAGGCATTTATACAGGTGGTTGCTCTAAGCTTCCCGTAGAATTTCAGTTGGGCGATCAACCGATCAATGGTTTCATGCTTATCTTCGTGCAGAGGACAAGTTAATTCAAGTAAAACAAACTGATTTGAATGTTGTCTACTCTATATGGTTCGAACTATGGCAAAATCAAACAAAAGCACGTAGGCACAGACATGCGGATCTAATCCCGTTGCACAGTAGTCCAGGAAACGGAACACCAAAAGCCGATTGATCAATAAGCTCATCAAAAAGACAGGACAGTAAAAATCTGCGACTAAAAAACACCTCAGGTTTTGCATTATTCTGTTCATTGATCGAATGCGACCGCAGGTCACGGAACGCAAACTGTGATTATTGTAGCGTGGCTCTTTGGTTTATATCACCATTATTCCCGTTTGCTCCAAGCCATTGTTCGTAATACGGAATTCGTCGGAACCCTAGAATAAATGAACCACTTCTCCGTTCAATAAAAGGTGATCAGGACGCCAACTATCAGAAAGTAGTTGTTAACAGATCGAATTCAGATTAGTGGGCTTCCCTGATTCGGATATACATTGCGCATGTCCAGTTGTCGTTATTTGCAGTTACTACTCCAGGTTAGAAGAAACCGCGTGAAGGTCAACAGATGACGTGGGAACGAGGCATGAAGAAATGCACAGCGATTATGTACAGTAGATACCTCCCGTCTTCCAGGTTGAGGTCTGAAAGATTCTGTAACTAGTTGGTTGACGACACTGAAGGATATGGCAACTAACCGATAGCGATGGTGTTCTTTTTGTCATTTCTTATCTGGCCAGAATGCCTGATGTATGAACCACTTTTCCGCCTTGAAAGTGACTATTTCGCCCGATTTTTCTCTATTTTCGTAATTATTTTTATAAAATTTAAATTTCCTAATTTTCGCGCCAAGAAAGATTAATCCTGCACCACCGGCCATGCTCGATTCTGATTGGGCCATTTCTCTGTGAACCACTACTTTCGAGCTAATTCGCAAGGTCAATGATGGCCGGTCCCGCAACTGTATATAAACGCATGAGCTGTCCGCTTTGATCGACCTTTTTGGTTGAGCCAAATANCTTCCTCTTCTGTCTGGTCGGGCTCTGGGGATCGTAGTGGTTCGTGGGCGCTTTCTCCGTTACCGTTTCTCTGGGTCTCGATCTGGGGTACCGCAATCGTTCTTGCCGGGTGCTGCTCTCTCTCGCTGGGTCGTACGGTTCCACTCGTGGGTCACGCTTGCTGGTCGTAACGATACAACAATGCCGGAAAAAGTATTTATGCACAGTTAGGTTATTTGCTCTGTGTTGACCACAGAGGTTCACTTTCTTCGTCTTGCTCCGACTAGACCAAATCCCCGTCCATCTTGTACATTCTCAGTGACTTGTGAGATTGGCAGCGATCAGCAAAGTTCATTTCATCACACCTCTCTGCACGATGATGATGACCTGATAATACAAACTACCAGTGCAGCCATGTGGATAACTTACAGATCACCAAATACGTACTCAGATATCATTTTTATCATCTGAGAGACAATCAACCAATCGGTATCGAATCAGCTTATTCGAGAGGAACTTCCGAATTCAGGGGTAAAATCGTGTCTATGAAATATTTACACAACCATCATGTGAGTTATTGAATTGTCAGCCCATTGTGTGCGCATTTCACTTGATCAAAACGGCAAGCGATATATTGCCTTGTGGCTTACCAAAGAATCATAGCAACGTCAAAACGTACACCGAAGATAGATAGACATGCCCAAAAACCGTTAGTGCACAATCCCACCTATTACGATAGTCGATACACCGTCGATTTTCACTAGATTGGTCGTTTGTTAACACGGGTGCTTCAGCTATTATTAGCACAATGCATTCAGACAAACAAATGTAGTAATAGAAGCGAAACCGCTGAAACCGGTAAGAAACTGAGGGAAACAAAACAAAAAACTGACCTGAATAATATGAATCAACGCTTCACGTAACTGTTCTTTCGTGAGACCGTCTCTAGAAGTATTACATACTCTTGTGGATAAGGAAGATCCTTCTGCAGAAATTTCAGATGTCCTGTGGGAAGTCTGTTTGGGAGGAGTGTTCTTATTTGACTGACGTCCTGTTGTGATTGGTACAGTTGTCTCGTCCACGCCAGTGGGACCAAATGTGGACATTGGTGGGCTGATCAGCATGGCTGGTGTAACTAACGGCTCGTCCTGATCGTCATCACACAGTGCCGTTTCACATCCCGACCAGGGTGATCGATTGACTTGATTGGAAGACTGATCTACGGAATCATGATGGCGCGAATGTCGCCGGGACTTTCGATGCCCTTTGTCCGAGCAAGACAGTAGAGTTTCGTCATCTTCTGCCTCATCAATGTCGTCCGCGTAACCGGCATCCAAATCACTAAGAAGCCGAGATGGTGTTGCCAAACGAGGAGCACGATCAACAACAGATGCAGTGGGATTGGAGGGAGACTTGAATAGAACTTGCCGATGGGATGGATCCTCAGTTGAGCTCTCATCGGTACCTTCGTCACCAGCAAAGTAGGCAGGAACCTGATAAGGAAAATGCACATGCCAGGTCAAAAAATACATGACACGCAAAGAACAATGTGTCATGATGAAGCGAATAAGGGATCGGAAAACAGATAAAGCATACACGAATGCACATATCCCACATGCCACAACTATGAAGGTGTGGGTGTGTTTCGTGCGCTTCTTGGTTGGTTTGTAATCGGCGGTTCTAGCCAACTCCCCTAGGTGAGGTGCCAGTGGTCCGCCGACCGAGCTATAGCACCGGATGTTGGCTAGTCAACCTCTTACTTTCGTGGGAAAACATCACCATGTGAAGGTAGTGGCGACGGCTACCTCAGCAGAGGTCGGGTGAGACACTTGGTCTGNTCTGATAGGAGCATTTCACGAAGTGATCAGTCATAACCCATCCCCCCGACCATACCGAGGTTTTCGGACTATAATTATACTAAATACACCTTAGAGCGGAAAACCAGCTGCTTTTTTGGTGATTTATAACCTGTGAAATAAATTTTATTAGTAAGCACTAGTCAGATAAAAAAAACTGTTG